CAGCCCCACCCACCCCCAGCTGGACCATGGTGCGGTTGTAGAGGATCTGGGGGGGGACAGGTGAGGTCAGGGCACCTGGACAGGTGAGTTTTGAGCAGCCCCACCCACCCCCAGCTGGACCATGGTGCGGTTGTAGAGGATCTGGGGGGGGGGGCAGGGGGGGGACAGGTGAGGTCAGGGCACCTGGACAGGTGAGTTTTGAGCAGCCCCACCCACCCCCAGCTGGACCATGGTGCGGTTGTAGAGGATCTGGGGGGGGACAGGTGAGGGACAGGTAAGGGACAGGTGAGGTCAGGTCACCTGGGCAGGTGAGTTTTGAGCAGCCCCACCCACCCCCAGCTGGACCATGGTGCGGTTGTAGAGGATCTGGGGGGGACAGGTGAGGGACAGGTGAAGGACGGGTGAGGGACAGGTGAGTTCTGACCATCTTAGAGCAGCCCAGGTGTGTCACGTGTTCACCTGGACAGGTGTGACCCCACACTGACCAGTAGAGGGGAGTCCCACCCACCCCCAGCTGGACCATGGTGCGGTTGTAGAGGATCTGGGGGGGGGACAGGTGAGGGACAGGTGAGGTCAGGTCACCTGGACAGGTGAGTTTTGAGCAGCCCCACCCACCCCCAGCTGGACCATGGTGCGGTTGTAGAGGATCTGGGGGGGGGACAGGTGAGGTCAGGACACCTGGGCAGGTGAGTTCTGACCATCTTAGAGCAGCCCAGGTGTGTCACGTGGTCACCTGGACAGGTATGACCTCACACTGACCAGTAAAAGTGGCTTGTACCCACCCCTGAGCAGTACAGGTGAGGTCACCTCACCTGGACAGGTGTGCCATGAGTTCACCTGGACAGGTGTGACCCCACACTGACCAGCAAAGGTGAGGTCAGGTCACCTGGACAGGTGAGTTTTGAGCAGCCCCACCCACCCCCAGCTGGACCATGGTGCGGTTGTAGAGGATCTGGGGGGGGGGGACAGGTGAGGGACAGGTGAGGGACAGGTGAGGGACAGGTGAGGGACAGGTGAGTTCTGACCACCCCTGACCAGCCCAGGTGAGTCCCACCCACCCCCAGCTGGACCATGGTGCGGTTGTAGAGGATCTGGGGGGGGACAGGTGAGGGACAGGTGAGGTCAGGGCACCTGGACAGGTGAGTTCTGACCATCTTAGAGCAGCCCAGGTGTGTCACGTGTTCACCTGGACAGGTGTGACCCCACACTGACCAGTAAAGGTGAGTCCCACCCACCCCCAGCTGGACCATGGTGCGGTTGTAGAGGATCTGGGGGGGGGACAGGTGAGGGACAGGTGAGGGACAGGTGAGGTCAGGACACCTGGGCAGGTGAGTTTTGACCAGCCCCACCCACCCCCAGCTGGACCATGGTGCGGTTGTAGAGGATCTGGGGGGGACAGGTGAGGGACAGGTGAGGGACAGGTGAGTTCTGCCCACCCCTGACCAGCCCAGGTGAGTCCTGTCCATCCCCACCCACCCCCAGCTGGACCATGGTGCGGTTGTAGAGGATCTGGGGGGGACAGGTGAGGGACAGGTGAGGGACAGGTAAGGGACAGGTGAGTTCTGACCATCTTAAAGCAGCACAGGTGAGTCCCACCCACCCCCAGCTGGACCTTGGTGCGGTTGTAGAGGATCTGGGGGGGACAGGTGAGGGACAGGTGAGGGACAGGTAAGGGACAGGTGAGTTCTGACCATCTTAAAGCAGCACAGGTGAGTCCCACCCACCCCCAGCTGGACCTTGGTGCGGTTGTAGAGGATCTGGGGGGGACAGGTGAGGGACAGGTGAGGGACAGGTAAGG